AGTGACCTCAGAATCCACAAAAGGATCCACACTGGGGAAAAGCCTTTTAAATGTATGGAGTGTGGAAAGATCTTCGCTCAAAAAGGTAATCTTAGTTCCCATAAGAAGATCCACACAGGGGAGAGGCCATATAAATGTATGGAGTGTGGAAAGGCCTTTGCTTACAGCAGTGACCTCAGAAACCACAAAAGGATCCACACTGGGAAAAAGCCATTCAAATGCATGGAATGTGGAAAGACCTTTACTCGAAGTAGTATTCTTCTTCGCCATAAGATGATCCACACTGGGGAGAAGCCATATAAATGCATGGAGTGTGGAAAGACCTTCTCTCAAAAAGGTAATCTTATATCCCATAAGGTGATCCACACAGGGGAAAAACCATATAAATGCATGGAGTGTGGAAAGACCTATGCTCATAGTAAAGCACTTACTATCCACAACATGATCCACACAGGGGAGAGGCCGTATAAATGCCTGGAGTGTGGAAAGAACTTTGCTCGGAGAGACCATCTTATTTCCCATAAGATGATCCATACAGGGGAGAGGCCATATAAATGCATGGAGTGTGGAAAGACCTTTAGTCAGAGCCACAGTCTTACTGTCCATAGAAGGATTCACACTGGGGAAAAACCATATAAATGCATGGAGTGTGGAAAGACCTTTGCTCATAGTAATGGACTTACTATCCACAAAATGATCCACACAGGGGAGAGGCCGTATAAATGCATGGAGTGTGGAAAGGCCTTTGCTCAGAGCAGTGACCTCAGAAACCACAAAAGGATCCACACCGGGGAAAAGCCATTTAAATGCATGGAGTGTGGAAAGACCTTCGCTCAAAAAGGTAATCTTATATCCCATAAGGTGATCCACACGGGAAAAACCATATAAATGCATGGAGTGTGAAAAAACTATCCACAACATGATCCACACAGGGGAGAGGCCGTATAAATGCCTGGAGTGTGGAAAGATCTTTGCTCGGAGAGACCATCTTATTTCCCATAAGATGATCCACACAG